GGGCATGCATACTCAGCAGCAGAGTAGCAAAGCGCAAGGGCAGATGTCTTCACTGTGTCTGGTTGTGATCCCCAGGTTGTGCCAGTCAGTTTTCGTATGATATTATTTCTAGTGCCCACTTTTTGCTTGATATTCAGGCAGTGCTTCTTGTAGGTCAGAGCACGGTCTAGGGTGACTCGCAGGTATTTGGGTGCACTGCAATGCTCCAGTGGGATTCCTTCCCAGGTAATCCTCAGAGCTTGGGATGCTTGTCTGTTCTTAAGGTGAAAAGCACATGTCTGTGTTTTAGATGGATTAGGGATCAGCTGGTTATCCCTGTAATAGGCAGTAAGAGCACCTACAGCTTCTGAGAGCTTCTGTTCAACCATCTCAAAGCTCCCTGCTTGAGCAGTAGATGGCTGATTCTCTTTTTGCAGACGGCTGATTATCTCACTCCAGAAGCTACCAGAAGCGACTTGCAACATATAGGTGGCTGAGATGATGACACTTTTGCTTTCTGATGGTTACAGCTTTGTTTCATGTACAAAATTATTTCAGATGTTGTGCATAAAATTCCTTCAGGTGTATATGAAACAAAAATATATTTTGTGTTTAGTCTTGGAACCATCTCTTAGATATTGCATTATATATGTACAGTCAGCCCTCCACATTCACTGGGGTTAGGGACCCAGGACTTCTGTGAAAATTGTAAAAACACTGAATAAGGAAACTTAGGAAATGTATTTTGAGGAATCCCTAGATCCTCCAATACCACTGGATGTTGACCATAGAATCACATTGAAGGATCTAGGGATTCCTAAAAAGAACCTTTTTAAATAAAATTATTCAATAAGTCAACCCCACAAATGTGAAGGGCAAACTGTATATACAAATACAGTTCTCCCAAAATTTAAAAATCCCAGAAAGTCCAAAATTCAAAACACCTGGTGTCCCAAATATTTCAGATAAGGGATAATAATATTTCAAATAAGGGATACCATCTTTATGTCACATACCATTATGTTGCCGTTTATAATAATAATAATAATAATAATAATAATAATAATAATAATAATAACTTTATTTATATACCGCTCCATCTCCCCGAGGGGACTCAGAGCGGTTCCCAGGTAACATCACAAAACATACAAAGTAAAAAACAACATAACCATAAGATTAACAAAACAAAATATAAGCATAAAATTGTCGCCATAACACACATATATTCAAAGAATCCTGCCTGTTCAAGGCAATTTAAAAAAATTTAAAGGCCAGGCCAAGATTTGTACTGTAAATTAGCTGTGAATGATTCATGGGCCAGTACAGATCCACAAACTACTAGTTTGAGTAGCACTGACTTGGGGGACCAAAATGGAATCCATAATATCTACCTTTTAATTAAACTGGTATATAACATGGGATATATTAACTCAAATTCACACCTTACAATTCTTTGAAATGCCTGAGACAATTAGCAGTCTGTGTGTCAGTATCAGTTATGAACTCCCAATAACATGGTAGAGCTAGTCAGGAAAATGAGAGGTTTTGGAAGAAGGCCACCATAAATGGGATTAAAGAGTCTCTTGTTTACCAGTGGCTATTGAGCTAGTTGACTGACCTTGAGGGAGCTGGGGGTGGTAACGACCGACAGGGAGCTCTGGCGTAGGCTGGTCCATGAGGTCACGAAGAGTCGGAGACGACTGAACGAATGAACAACAACAACATTGAGCTAGTTAAAGGATTTCTCTCATGTTTTATAACTCTCTTTATTGCAGTGCAACAGAAAATGGGGAGGGCTGGGAATGTTTACAGCATGGCAAAATAATCAGGAGCATGTATTGGAAAGAGAGAGGAAGGGAAGGAGGACGGGAGATAGTTACTGTGGTTGGAACAGATAATTGAGCCCAGATGGGTAAGAACCAGAAAGATGTCCAGCTGCTTTGCTAGCGGGCAATATGTTTACACTACTATCTGTGGTTGAGGAAAACCGGACTCTTCACACTTACGTTTTCATGCCAAAGGTTTGCAAGACATCTCCTTTTGAATTGCAAGGTGGGTTTCCCATCCAGAGAAGATGCTCCACAGTGAATACGTTTCCTTTAAAAGTAGTTTACTTTTGTAGCTGCCAGGTTGAATCTTGTGGTGATAATGGCCTAAGGGGTTTATCATATGACGTACGTTGTAAATACAGGAGGATAATAGCATCTTTGGCAGGGGCAATCACACACCCGATATCTTTCTCATTGTTTCATTGCATTTTCTATCAGTCTTGCTCACCATACCATTCACAAAACAGGATCCATCCATACACACATCCATCTTCCTCACTGTAGTGCTTGTAAAACTGAAATCAAAAGACACAGTGAAAAATGTTTAGTTCTGTGTCTACCTCTTCCTCCAAGAGCCTAAGGAGGGCTTGTACATGGTTACCCCTTATAGCAGTGGTTCTCAACCTATGGGTATTTTGGCCCACAACTCCGAGAAATCCTACCAGTTTACCAGATTTCTGGGAGTTAAAGGACAAAACATCTGGGGACACACAGGCTGAGAACCACTGCACAAAAGTCTTGATTGCAACCAGACAAAGGATTGTGAGTCCCATAAATGTACAATAATAGTAATTCTTCTGCTAAAAGAGGACATTCTTCCATCCAATTGTCCCCAGGCCAGGACTACAGCCTTTGAAGCAAAGTAGCATATGTCTTAGTAACTCAGAGTACCTTCGATTCCAGATAGGTCCTTAATTTGCCACATCGTTTATGCTATTTTGGTACATGCTCCCTCTCAAACCATATACCGTATATTCTGGCGTATAAGACTACTTTTTAACTCAAGAAAATCTTCTCAAAAGTCAGGAGTTGTCTTATACGCAGGGGGTTGTCTTATACGCGGGAGTAGTCTTATACACTGAAGTCGTCTTATACACGGGGCCATGTTATACACAGGAGTAGTCTTATACACTGGAGTCGTCTTAGACACAGGGCCATCTTATACACAGGAGTATTCTTATACACTGGAGCCGTCTTATACACAGGAGTCGTCTCATAGAGCGGGTGCTGAAACTTCCAATCAGATTGGAGAATCTGTGGTTGCTGCATATTGTGGGGGAAGCTCAAAAATGGCAGTGGCCGCGTCCCTGCCATATGCAGAGACTGTATGAAAGCATTAAGGGCAATATTGTACAAGTATGGTAGAAGAAAATCCATTCATCAGGATTCGTGGATTTAATGTGGTTCCGATGGTGAGGTGAAGGGGCGCCTCACCAGGAAGGTGTAAGTGAAGAGCGGAGCAAGCTGCAGGCGTCTGGGGCACCCAGGGTATTGAAAAAAGAGACAGAGTGGCTCTGGGCCCAGAAAAACACAACTCTTTTACCTGTCTGGCCCGTACTTGTATCCTATTACTGTACCTCCTCCTCTGCCTCTCAGATCTCACTCCTGAAGACTGCAGTGAAGTGGTGCAGGTGCGCATGTGCGAGATCTGAGAGGCAGAGAAGGAGGTACGGTAATAGGAAAATTACCATATTGAAATCAAATCTGATGCTTTTAAAAATTTTATTTGGTGTGTGTTGGAAGAGGGGTAGTCTTATACAGCGAGTATATCCCAAATTCTATATGTTAACTGGAAAAGTTGAGTATATCCCAAACTCTATATTTTAACTGCCCAGTCGTCTTATATGCCGGAATATATGGGTATATTATTTGCAACCTGTGGGCTGTAAAGCAATCAAGCAAACATTCTCATTAACAGGCAGTTTACTGTGCTTATATTAAAGATGAAAATGGAAAAATGTGTCTAGAAGTAAAGTTTGACTTCTACATGGATCCAACATGGCAGCAGCGCTTGTTTAACTATTCTCATCCAGAAAAATATGGAATTGTGCAAACCAATACCCCAGATTTGGTTGCTGGGTATAGATCTTGAAACGGATTTAATTTTCAAATCCCTCTGGTTGGGAATGTGAATATGAAGTTCTCACTACTACAAGGAAGGAGGTAAACGGATCCTGGATTGAGGTGATCTCAATGGAGGTTGGATCTGTGTCCTGGAATCGATGTGGACTTCTGAGTGCCAGTGGTTAAAGAGACTACGGTGTGTCAAAGCACAGAGCCTTCTATACAGAAAATTGAATGAGTACTATGTGGAATCTACATTGAGTCTCAGTCAGCTCTTTACCAACATGAAAGCCCTAACAGTTTTGTGTGGATGTATGAGCCTAAGAGTCACTACTAAGTGCTGGGTCACTGAGTGAATTACAAGACAGAACCTCTGCTTCTTAGCAGGCTTACAAGCCGAGGAGATTCCCCAGGTACTTCTGATGAGAAGGCAGTCTTCCATACATCCATCAGTGGATTAGAAATTCTTTTTCAGCATTCTCCGTTGCCCCTTTAATGTTGCTGGTTGAGGGAATGAATGCCATAGTCCTACCCAGTGCCTTTCTGGTTACATAAATTTCAGTTAAAGTTCCTTTAAACTTTTCAGCTTGTAGATTCTCTCCCAAAGTTCCTGGGACGAGTTCCTCTAGATGAGTTCCTCCTTTAGCTATCATTTCACTCCTGAGCCTCCTTTGTCATTCTTTCAGAAATTGTTGCCCTTTCTGTTTCCTTACGAATCCTTTGGAGCAGAATCGGGACATCAAATGTGTTAAAAATAAGACCACTATCCTGTCACTGAGTTGAAACTATTGATGGAAAGACAATGAATTGTGGTATCCATTTCCTGTGCTATTAGGGTCAAAGTCAATGGGTGGGATGTAGAAAGCCAAAGGTCCATCATTTCTAAAAATTCTTAATTCGTATCTTCTGGGTTGGATTAAATTCCTGCTGCTTGATACAGGAATTAGTAAGAGGGAAAGATAAGCCTGAAAGGCTACAAAATGGCAAAAGGATCCATTCACGGTGAGCGGTATCAGCCCCAACTTGATCATGGAGTGTTGATTAGGCTAGTGGGAAATGGCATTAAATTGTTTTAACTTTTCCTACAGAGGAAAAGAAAAGCCATAGATCCTTTTGTAAAGTAGGTGCAGCACCAAGATAGGAGGGCTGGAGGTTGGCCAGAGAGAACAGAAAGCAGACCAACAACCCTCAAAGTCAGAGGGGATCTCCGCTCTGGTTGTTCCGGCTTTTCTTGCGTTTTGTTTTGGCTGAAGGAGAAGGGAAATCCAAGGACTCCAGGCGGAAAGGGCGCAGCTGGGGCATCTCCACTGTCTGGGCTGGGACCATAGGTGCCAAGCTGGACGTTAAGATAGAGGTGTTGTTGTTCATCAAAGGAGGGGAGTTATGAGAAGCTGCCATGAGAAAAGCAAAAAGAAAACACTCAGGAGACTGCAACTCTTGGCATTCCTACACTGGCTAAGGCTAATACAGTAGATGTTCCTCATATTGCTGGTTGATAGGTGCTATAGTCATAAAATACTAGTACAGGGTGAGGCAGCATAACTTCCTTTTTTTCAAAACTTAATAAAACCCATTGTATGAATCAGAAAAAAGAAATTATAATGTAGGCGCATTCCTAAAGTTTTGTTTTACGTATTTTTGAAGATCAAATTAGGTAGGTGATGTCCCCCATTCTCCATACACTGAGTAAACTGGTTTCTGGCGTTTGTCATGACTCTTGCCAGCATAGCAGGTGTTATGTTGGCAATTTCTTCCTGGATGTTGGTCTTCAAATCTTGTAGGGTCCTTGGACGGTTCACATAAACACGGGATTTCAAAAAAACCCATAGAAAAAAATCACAAGGGGCCAAATCTGGAGAGCAGGACGGCCACTCCAAATCCGTTCGAAAAGTAGGCCTCAACAGCAAAAGCACGCTCCTCATTGTTCCAACGCATGATGGCGACTGAACTGTGTCAGGACAAAACTTTATACTCCCGCCTCTCGAACGAGACCACTAGCGCTCCGCTACGTCTTCAACCGACTGAATGGCGCACATTTTAAAAAAGGAAGTTATGCTGCTTCACCCTGTATTTAGAGGGCCAGAACGTAATTCCATCCCTGGTCTAATTGCAACAAAAATGGCAAAACCCTTTATCTGTATGACATCCTTCTGGAAGGAGCCACTCTTAAATTTTTTCAAAAACGTTAGGGGCCCCAAACCCCCACAAATGAGAAAATCTACAAATAAAGGAAGATACTTTTTGCACCCTCTCTAGGAATCTCTAAAATCTCCAGTGCAACTCTATAGTCAACTTCCACCAGAAGTTGATCTCAGAATCCCAGTAGAGGACCTACAATGCCTAGAGAAATGTTCTCTCTAGGAATCTCCAGCAAGAGTACAGTCAATTTTCATAGGAGGTTGACCACAGAGGTGAACTGGGGGATCTACAGATTCCTTAATCAAAGTGGCTAATAATCAAATCCACAAAAGTTAAACCTGTAAGTGTGAAGGCTGACTATAATTTTTTTTCAGAATTTGAATGTGAGATCAGAAGTTTTTTTTAAATTATGTGTGGTCTCTAATGCAGGGAAGTAGGAACATATAGATGTTGTCAGACTACAACTCTCACCAGTTCTAGTGAGAATTTCTAATGCTGAGGGATCTTGGGATCACAGCCTAACATCTGGTGGGCTGCATATCCTCCATTCCCAGCTTAGTGTATATTTTGAAATTTAGTGATTGATGACTGTATTAATTACGGACATGGTAACACTAAAACTGTTTATGTAAAGTTTATGTAGCTTAGGGACATAAGCAGCCAAAATATTTTGTTGCCTAAGGCAGAGCTATAAACCAAGTCAGGATGCATTGCACCCCACGGCAGATAATAATAATAATAATAATAATAATAATAATAATAATAATAATAATAATCTTTATTTATACCCTGCCACCATCTCCTCAAGGGACTTGGAGCAGCTTACATGAGGCCAAGCCCAACAACACATCAGTAAAAACAACATAACAATAAGCAAATAAACAATAGAATCAATATAACTCACATATAGACAATAACACACAAAGATTTAAAAACCTATGGCCGGGCCAGATGTAATAGTTAACATTTTAAAAATAAACGTTGGGCATGAGCAGAGGTAGGATGTATTTAAACAAAATGTAGGGAGAGTGCTTCTCAGGATATTTCGCAGGGGATTGTTTCCTTTATTGAAGGAAGGCACACTGGAACAGCCACGTTTCCAGACTCCTCCTAAAGACTGCCAATGTGGGGGCTTGTCTGATATGCTTGTGGAGTGAGTTCCAGAGTCGGAGGGCCACCATAGAGAAGGCCCTCTCCCTCATCCCCACCAATCGCGCCTGCGAAGGATGTGGGAGCGAGAGCAGGACCTCTCCAGAAGATTGAAGAGATCGCGTGGGTTCATACACCGAAATGCGGTCACGCAGGTAGGCGGGTCTCAAACCGTTCAGGGCTTTGTAGGTAAGAACCTGCACCTTGAATTGGGATCGGAAAATGAATGGCAGCCAATGGAGCTCCTTAAACAGGGGGGTTGACTGCTCCCTGTAAGTCGCTCCAGTTAGTAACCTGGCTGCCGCCTGTTGGACCAATTGAAATTTCCGAGCCGTCTTCAAGGGCAGCCCCACATAGAGTTCATTACAGTAATCCAACTTCACCCTGAAACCTCATAGGTGTATCTTACTGGCAACCGCTGGCAGGAAAGCTGTGGAACGCCCTGCCTAGGGATATTAGATCGGCCCCTCCCTCCTGACTTTTTGGAAGAGAGTAAAAACCTGGCTCTTCAAGCAAGCATTCAAGCTTGAGATGGAGAATGACCCAGGAATGGCCAAGACGATGAAACGGATGAGGATTGGAATGTGAGGATATAGCTTTTTTAAAATTGTTATTGCATTATAGTCTTTTTTGTCTAAATGCACTTAATATTTTTTGCTTTTTGAATGTATGTATTGATGGCATCGAATTGTGCCGTTATGTAGACCGCCCTGAGTCGCCTCCGGGCTGATATGGACGGGATATAAATAATGTAAATACATAAATAATAAACTGTAAGGTGAACGTATCACTAGATTCTCTTGAGAAGATGTGTTTGGAATGGGTTTGCCATTGCCTTCCTCTCTGAGGTTGAGAGAGTGTGACTTGTCCATATTAACTTGGGGGATTCCCATGGTCAGGTAATGAAACCCTGGTGTCCTCGAGTCCTAATCCAGCAGACAAACCAATGTACCTCATTGACTCACCTGGATCCAAAGGTTTCCAGGTTTCATCTGTTACTATAATCCCTTAGTGATGTTAGGCAAATGATCTTTTCTTACCTTCAGCAATGTGAGCCATCTATATTCTCACCTTACCAGGTTCCTCTAACCCAGAATGGTATATACAAAAGCTTAAGAACAAGAAGAAAAGCAGGGAGTGGGGCTCCACATATATTTAGAATAAGGGTGGAAATGCTGCAGATGCTTTTGGCTCACAACTCCCAGCATTCCTCACTAGTGGCTGGGCTGGCAAGGCCTGATGGTTATTCTAGAAATACAACCACATGATTCCTACCTCTGCTTTAGAAAAATAATAATATAATAATAACACTTTATTTGTACCCCACTACCATCTCCCCAAGGGACTCAGTACGGCTTACATGAAGCCGAGCCCAAATAAAACAATACAAGCAATTAAAATAAAAACATGGACAATAAAATAACGCAACATTAACAATAAAACCACATGATTAAAACTGTGGGAAGGCCAAATGTAAAATTAAAATTGGAAGGCAAAGAACATAGAAGAAGGTTTACCAAGGCTTTTCATGGGATCAGTATTGAGAATCTGGCTTGCCCGTTTTGAGCGGAAATAGTTCGTGGCGATATTCTCACTGTCACTTTTGCTCAGCATCATTTTATAGCGATCTTCTTCCTGACAGAGACATAGACAAGAAGTTACTACCTGTTTATCATTATCAAGCCAAAGTAGTTCAATGTTGTTATTGTAAATTTTAGAGATAAAGAAACTAGGCTGTGGCCATATCAAACTTGTAATTTCATTCACACATTTCTCAAGTTCAATATTGTTGTTGTTCATTCGTTCAGTCGTCTCTGACTCTTCGTGACCTCATGGACCAGCCCACGCCAGAGCTCCCTGTCGGCCGTCACCACCCCCAGCTCCCTCAAGGTCAGTCCAGTCACTTCAAGGATGCCATCCATCCATCTTGCCCTTGGTCGGCCCCTCTTCCTTTTGCCTTCCACCTTCCCCAGCATAATTGTCTTCTCTAGGCTTTGCTGTCTCCTCATGATGTGGCCAAAGTACTTCAGCTTTGTCTCTAGTATCCTTCCCTCCAATGAGCAGCCGGGCTTTATTTCCTGGAGGATGGACTGGTTGGATCTTCTCGCAGTCCAAGGCACTCTCAGCACTTTCCTCCAGCACCACAGCTCAAAAGCATCGGTCTTCCTTCGCTCAGCCTTCCCTAAGGTCCAGCTCTCACATCCGTAGGTGACTATAGGGAATACCATGGCTTTGACTAGGCGGATCTTTGTTCAATATTACCATCAAGTTCAATATTACCATCTGATATATGTATTACTTTTCTGGCTTTCCAAAAATGAGAAAAATGCAAACCCATGGGAAACGATAATCTAAGGACAGTATTCAGGACAAGGTAAACATTTTAAGTTTCAATGACCTCAGTGAGAGGTTTAAATATATGCTGACATTGATATGTAAATAAGTTCTGGCCCAACTCACCTGTCTGAATGCATCTCCCCTTATGAACTGCTAAGACAGGGGTCCTCAAACTAAGACCCGGGTGCCAGATGCGGCCCTCCAAGGTCATTTACCCAGCCCTCGCTATAGCACTTCAATATCTCTTTAACTGCTTTGGTTTCATCCTACAAAGTTCTGAGATTTGTATTTCAGTATGATAGAAAGCCAGCATGGCTTGAACAATGGAGCATGATGCTGGAGTATGATGCCAGGGTTTGAATCCCTGTTGGATGATCCTGGGCATGTCATATAGTCTTAGCCCCAGAAAACCCCATGATAGGGATACATGTGCCAATTTCCTCCCTCGCAAACCCTTTGTGAATTATTATTATTATTTATTTATGACATTTATATGCCGCCCTTCTCACCCCAAAGGGGACTCAGAGCGGCTTACAAGTATGTATTACATACAATATATTACATTATTAGCATAGTACTATATCAGCATTAAACATTGCTATATTGCACCATACCACTATATCGTAATATTACTAGTAATATTACATGTAATATAAATATATAATTATAATATCATATTATTATTATATTGCATTACATTATAATATTATAAATATTATATGTATATACAATATATTATATTATATTATATTATATTATATTATATTATATTATATTATATTATATTATATTATATGAATAGCACAGGAGACAAGGTGGAACTGTCCCTGGCTCCCTCTCTCTTCACTCTGGCCCAGAGCGACAGGGAGAGGGGTCTACATGGACTGCCAAACACAACTGAGATAAAACAGAAGGAACTGGAAATCACACAATTCTTATATATTAAGCACTGCAATCGGGCCCTATTTAAATGGTGAACTGCCGATCCTGGAGGCTTTCGGGAGAGAAAATTCACAAGCCGCTTTGAGAAATTTGGAGGGTCAAGGGAGACAAAAATACCTTATGGGATTGTATGTGTCCATAGGGCCCTACTTTGACCCATCCACAGCACCATGCATGGACTAGGAAAATATACCCTTATGCCAGCAAAGCCAACTGAGTAATCTTTTAAGTGTGCCTTCTGTAGAACTTATTCCCAGTAGGTAGGCAGGGCATAAGTCCCCTATCCCCAGCTTACCATTGTCCCTCCATCTCCATTGTCTGAGGATGAACTCTTCCTGCCTGCTTTGGTCTGTGACACTGCTAGGAGAGAAAAATAATAAGGGCTTTCAGCTTCTTTGGGTGTTTATCTTTTCCTTCTACAGAATATCTTCTTCAGTTATCCCCTGGCACTGGGTATTCAATTCACATAATTTTACTACAGGCTGGCCAGTGTACAGCTTGTTTTTGAAAATGCCTTTAGGCAAGATTGCCATATCATGGTTGTTTTATTGATGATGATGATGATGATGATGATGATGATGATAATAATAATAATAATAATAATAATAATAATAATAATCTTAAATAATAATAATAATAATCCTCAGCTGTTGCAAGAAAATCGCACAGACAGACTACAAACAAAGACACAACTGCTACATCTATATTCAAAATAGCCTTAATATATGATAAGTAGCTTATATTAATACTTACACCGAAAATTCCATACTAAAAATCATTTTAAAAAAAATCCTCCTCTTATATAAAATAAATATTAGAATATTAAAAATCTTAAAAAGGATTAAAATTGATTCCTCAGCTACCAGCTCCAAAACGATTAGTCATCTTCTCCTTCTTATGTAACATTTAAAGTCTTAATTTCTACTATGTCGCTCCTGAATTATGACACTCAATTGTCAAATCCCACAAACTTCTTCATATTTTCTTTTTTCATAAAGGTCATGAAAGGTTCTTATTTTTATTGTAAAGTTTTCTGCCACTCCATCTTTTTTTATTAGCAAGCTATTTTTTGATTAATGCTTCCTAGAGGGAAATGTAAATTTATGGATCTCTTCTTACCAGCAGGAAGACTGGTCTTTTGAGTGACAGGCTCTGGGATTTTCCAGAAGCCAGATTCTTCATCCCAGGTGGACTCGCGTTTAATTTTATCAAAGTTGCTATAATTGCAATCCCGTCGGATCAGTGGCTGCACTTGGTCCAAGAGCTGCTGATGGAGCAGAAGTTCCCGTTCTTGGCGCCGGATAGTGGCCAAATAATCAATCTTCTCCAGTTCAAATTCAGACTGGAGATCTTTGATTTCGGTCTCAGCAACCCGTAGCTGGGAAGGATTGAACCAGGTTGAGTACAACAGCTACGTAAAATGAACTGCTAAGAGCTGCATAACTTCATAATAACTGTATATCCTGAAGTAAAGCTAATTACGCTTTCTTAAAGAAACATATTAAATATTTACTAGGTATAGATATTAATTAGAGAAATTCGCAAGGCTCATATATATACAAGCTTCACTAGCACTAGGTGACAGGTAGCTAACTATGTGGATCAGCTGAATTGAAAATCATGATAAACTAACCACAAAATGTTGTTATCAGAAATGGCCTATGCATAAAGGTTTCTTGCTACTTGTTGTTGAAGTCTTCATGGAGAACAAACTGCACAAATCTAGTTTCCTTTCAAACTAGCTACTGATCACTTCATCAGTAGGCGGGTTCGGGCCCCACCTATCTCCGCGATCGCATCTCCTTCTATGAACCGGCACGAGCTCTAAGATCTTCCAGGGAGGCCCTCCTCTCGGTCCCACTACCGTCTCAAGTGCAGCTGGTGGGGACGAGAGAGAGGGCCTTCTCAGTGGTGGCCCCCCACCTCTGGAACACCCTTCCAAGAGAAATAAGACAGGCCCCATCCCTCCCCTCCTTTCGTAAGAGCTTGAAGACCTGGTGATTTCAACAAGCCTTTGAAAATGACCAGTTCTAACTCAGCCCTACACACTGTCAAATACGGCCTTATTCTTCCTACCAATTACCAGATCATTTCCTCTAAACGGCCCCGGAATGAACAGCCACAGACCCGTACTTAATATTATTGCTGCCTGCCATTGCACTGCACTTAATTTCCGGTCCTTCTAGAATTTTTGGGCTTGCACAAATTTTGGCCCGGCCTTTTAAATTTTTAAATTGCCTTGAACAGGCAGGATTACGTTTAATATATCTGTGTTATGGCGACAATTTTATGCTTATATTTTGTTTTGTTAATCTTATGGTTATGTTGTTCTTTACTTTGTATGTTTTGTGATGTTACCTGGGAACAGCTCTGAGTCCCCTCGGGGAGATGGAGTGGTATATAAATAAAGTTTTTTTATTATTTAATATATGTGTGTTATGGGGACAATTTTTATGCTTATATTTTAATAATAATAATAATAATAATAATAATAATAATAATAACAACAACAAAACTTTATTTATACCCCGCTCCATCTCCCCCAGGGGGACTCGGTGCAGCTTACATAAGGCCATGCCCAAAAATACAGTAACACAATATAACACAAAAGCATAACAAAACCAGAAATAAAATACATAAAATGCAAAACCAATATAATAAATGAACACCAAAAACAAAACAAACATTAAAAAACAAAAGATTAGGCTGGGTGGGGTTGAACTCAATGATAATTTTTTTAAAAGGCTTGGAGATAGGACAATATAAATTATAAAAAGGGGATAAAGAAGGATTTAATTGCATGAACCATAAAATAAAGTGCTTCTGAGGTCATTTTATGCAAAGTTTGGTCAGGGAGTATCTTACATTCAATCACTGAAGGCACATTGGAATAACCAGGTTTTTCAGGTTTCTCCTGAAGATTGCCAGCATGGGGGCTTGCCTCTGGGGAGTAGTTCCAGACCCGGGGGGCCACCACAGAGAAGGCCCTCTCTCTCATCCCCACAGGTCGCACTTGCGATGCAGGTGGGAGTGAGAGAAAGGCCTCTCCAGAAGATCGAAGAGGTTGTGTGGGTTAGTAGATAGAAATGCGGTCGCGCAGGTAGGCAGGTCCCAAACCGTTCAGGGCTTTGTAGGTCAAAACCTGCACCTTGAATTTTGTTTTTTGTTTTTTTAATCTTATGGTTATGTTGTTTTTTACTTTGTATGTTTTCTGATGTTACCTGGGAACTGCTCTGAGTCCCCTCGGGGAGATGGAGCGGTATATAAATAAAGGTTATTATTATTATTATTATTATTATTATTATTATTATTATCTTCCATATTTTATTCCCTCTTTTTCAGTCTATTTTTAATGTTATATCTATCACAATAGTTCACAAAATGACTAGAAGCAAGTCCAAAAAAGGAATACATAACTTGAGTCATGTATCTTGGCAAACTCAAGTGGATGGAAGAGACAAGCATTTCCATAACTATGTGGAACCCTGATTACTGGGAGTCAGTTTTCAATGTGCATTTGAACTGAGCATGATTGGAGCTATGAGGACCATTCAGAAGTTCCTAGCCCTTTGCCTGTTGTCCTTTCATAATACTATTTTACCCATGATTTTGCTTTGGATATCTGTGGGTGGGGAAAGCTGCCCTTGCCTAGTACTGAAACAAAGAATGTTTGTTTCCAACAAGAAAGGAATCACCTTTTCCTTCATCTTCTCCAGCATTTTGCTTTTCGCTCGCACTTCTTCCTGGATAGAGTCATAGACATTGAGCAGGACCCAGTCACTGCTGTCCTCATCTGATTTCTGCAGAGCCGCCAGCAGCTGCTGCTTCCGCTCATCCGCAATTCTCTTGCGCCGTTTATGCTTTTCTTTCAGGTCTTTGTTTTTGGCTTGTTCTCCTCCTACCACTTGTTGCTCCAGCATCTGCAACCTAAGGAAGTCAGATAAGGCTTAGTCTAGTATCTGGGGTGGGAGACTGGTCCTCCAGATGTTCACTCACCACTGATCTATCATCGGCCCATCATCAACTGCACTGGCTGAAGCTGATGGGAACAGATACCTGGAGGGCTACAGATTTCCCACACCTGCCAGGAGCTAAGTACAGATGTAGAGATTCGGCAGATGGGTTTAATATCCCTTGTAAGAATCATGACCAAATAATAACAGCTGTCCAAGAGAATAAATTCTAACAGATTGCTATAACAGATGTTAATACTTTTTTTGCAGAATCGGTTTGAGGTTAAAAAGGATATGAAAACTGAGACTAGGCTGGGGAAATTAATTTCCCACTGTTACCATGCTTCTCACAGAGTCATCTTTTATATAGAACTCCAAATTATGGAATACTCCATAATTGTCACCATGGATGGCTGTGATATTGACACCTTTGGTTTCTGATCGTTCAGTGTGTACAAACTTTGTTTATTGCACCAAACTATTACAAATGATGTATGAAATTCCCTTATGGCTATTTATAGAATCATAGAATCAAAGAGTTGGAAGAGACCTCATGGGCCATCCAGTCCAACCCTCTGCCAAGAAGCAGGAATATTGCATTCAAATCACCCCTGACAGCTGGCCATCCAGCCTCTGTTTAAAAGCTTCCAAAGAAGGAGCCTCCACCACATAGAAGATGCACTGTATATACTCGAGTATAAGCCTAGTTTTTCAACCATTTTTTTAGGCTGAAAAAGTTCCCCTCGGCTTATACTCGAGTCAAGGTTATTTATTATTTTACTCTGTTATTATTATTATTTTAATTTCAGTTATTATTTTATTCTATTTATTATTATTACATTTATCAATTTACTATATTATTATACATTTATTATTTTATTGCATAATTGTCGTTATTGCTACATTCATTATTTTACTCTTTTTGTTATTGTTGTTGTTATGACATTTATTACGTTACTCTCTTTATTTTTATTGGAAGGATATGTAAGCACATTTACATTGAAGAAGGTAAATAATCATTTAATCAGAGTTGGACAGTCTTATCTTAAATTACCATTTTTGTAGATATTCAAAAATATATAACCTACTGATTCCTCAATTAATGTAATTTAATTGGTATCTATTTTTATTTTGTAATTTACCCGTAGCAGCTGCATTTCCCACCCTCGAGTCAATCCGTTTTCTCAGTTTTTGGTGGTAAAATTAGGTTCCTTGGCTCATATTCGGGTCGGCTTATACTCGAGTATATACGGTATGTTAAAGATAAATGAATTTTGTGTATAGACTTGAGTACTATCTCTGAGATATCACATTATATACGTATATGCAAACATACAGGCAGTCCTCAACTTACAAACAAGATAGGTTCTGTAAGTTTGGTCTTAAGTTCAATTGGTATGTAAGTCGGAACAGTTAGATTTTTTAAGTGAAACTCTGACCATATATATATAGTAGCTGTACCCGCCACGTCTTGCTGTGGCCAACCTTCCCTCCCTCTTTCTCTCCTTCCTTCCCTTTTTTTTCTTTTCTTCTCTCCTTACTTCCTTCTCTTCCTATTCACTTCCTTACCCCAATTTTCTTTACCTTCCTCTTTCTCCCCATTCTTCCTTTTCTCCTATTCTTGGACTGCAACTCCCAGCAGTCTTTTTAACTATCTATCTACCTATCTACCTACCTACCTATCTCTGTCTAATATATCTATCTGGAGGAAATATGCAGGGATTGGGAGGCTCCCAAAGAAATCCAAGAAGAAAGATTGCATCTTGAAAGCAGTGCATTTGGATCATCCTCCTCTTCTAAAGGGCCTGGTCTAGGGGATGCTGGGAGCTGTAGTCCAGAAGAATGTGTGGATATGCTATTGTGTGTTTTGTTTGCCAGGGCGACTTGTTTTTGCCCATGCGCTGTAGTGTCTTTTTGCTTTTTTGGCTTTTAAGTCAAACATTATATTTTTATTTAAGTCCCTTCTGCTGTGTTTTTCAGTGTTTTTATGAGTGATGGTCACTTGTTAGCCTGATAGGTGTATTGTGTCCAAATTCGGTGTCAGTTCGTCCAGTGGTTTTTGAATTATGTTAACCCCACAAACTAACATTATATTGTATTGTTGAAGGCTTTCATGGCCGGAATCACTGGGTTGTTGTAGGTTTTTCCGGGCTATATGGCCATGTTCTAGAGGCATTTTCTCCTGACGTTTCGCCTGCATCTATGGCAAGCATCCTCAGAGGTAGTGAGGTCTGTTGGAAGTAGGAAAATGGGTTTATATATCTGTGGAATGACCAGGGTAAGACAAAGGACTTTTGTCTGCTGGAGCTAGGTGTGAATGTTTCAACTGACCACCTTGATTAGCATTTAATGGCTTGGAAGTGCCTTGAGGGAATCTTTTGTTACATTATATTTTTACATTATATTGTTACATTATATTATATTATATGTTTTTATATTATATTGTTACATTATATTTTGTAACATTATATTTTTATTTATATAGATGCACTTTGGATAGCACAAAGGGGAAAAAACAAAGAGAGTTAACACTTCTGCATTTTGTTTTGCTGCCTGTGCCTTTGTTCAGGAGATTTCACCTCACTTTCTGCCCTTCTGATAATTGGATTTTGAAATATTTAGCTTGTTGTGGAAACAAGGATTGGTGAGAAAGCTTCAGCGGAAACACCTTTTCCCCATGAATTTTCTCTCCAAGTGATAGATTTCTCTCACTTCCTGTTGTCTCTCCCCTGTTCTTAACAATGAGTCATTTGTAAGTCAGATGTTTGTAACTTGGGAACTGCCTGTATTCCAAAATTTTGGATAAGCTTTACAACAACCTGTAGTTATGGGGAAAGTATCACATCTGGATACTCAAGATTTAACCTGTTTATGTCTCTGTTTTATAACTCTCATGAGTTATATATAACTCTCCCACCGTCATCAACATAATACAACCTAACTAAGAGGCTCCTGGCTTAACTAGCTCTAGGAAACTGGATCCCTTGCAATGGATAATGGAGAATTACTTACTGAGGGGCTAATTCTTTCATTGGCTATGTAAGGATGCTGGGTTCCATCTGTGAAAGAGCTGGAGTGCTTCTCAGCTGTCTGCCATCTGCTGCATCACTTAACAGCAATAACACTTATAATGCATACATTGTAATGGAGTCAAAGTAATAGTCATGTGGCTGCAGCTCTCCCTCTATGTCATTATTATCACAGACCTGGCAAGCACTTGCTGCTGATCCACAGGCACTAGGAGTTGATCAGCAACGTCGGTTCCAGGTGTCCCTGGTCTGACTGTTTTCTCTGTGGGCTGGGCAGCTGGAGGAGCAGGATGCCCAACGGCTTCAGACTCCTGAGCCTAAGAGAAAAATGGAGGCAAGCATTTTGAACACACATAGTATCTGGATGGACTTATGTGAGGCTGAGCTATACAGATTTTCCCCAGAATGTAAACACTATATCTCACCAGGCTCCCAAGAGAGAATACGAGCCTGCTGGAGCATTGTGCATCCAGTGGTTTCTCTCCATTATCATTGGTTTTTCAGGAGCCATATTTTAGTCTCTGACAGCCAGCTGCTGTACAAAGGTATGGGGAGAAGAAAGGGAGAGAAAACAATTTGCTCCCTAGGTGTGATCTGACATTGCTAGGCAATGGAGTATTTTTGTTGTGCCAAATCAGCAAAACTAAGGGACCCCCATAATAATAATAATAATAATAATAATAATAATAATAATCTTTATTTATACCCCACCACCATCTTCCCAATGGGGACTCGGAGCGGCTTACATGGGGCCAAGCCCGGACAACATATTACAGCAATAAAATCAAAACATAAAAAACAAATAAAAACAACATCATTAAAGTACATTAATAATAATAATAATAAAGTTAGTTTGGGGACCCTAATCACAAATGGTAAATAACAATCAGGCCCCCCCCCCCATGCCATTTTAGAACTACATTTAATGGCCCTGTATAGTTATTTCATTTCTTGAAGGAAATTTATATTTCAGGATACCTTAGCTGATACATCGATCTTTTCTTCAGCTGGACCTGGAGATGAAAGGTCTTGGTCAGTCGCAACTTCCACTGATTGGCTGGTTACTAAAGAAAATAAAAGAAGTGATGACAAAACACGACACTTTCATCAGAAGACCTCCTAAGCTTGGAACATATATAGTCAGACTTCCACATTTGCTGGGGTTAGGGGTACAGGACTCTCGCAAAAGTGGGGGGGAAAACACGTATGAAAAAACTGCTATTTTTCTATCTGAAAATATATTTTTGAATTCTCTAATTCTCCAGCATGACTCTCCAGCATGACTCTAATTCTCCAGCATGACTCTCCCACTGGAGTCCCTAGGGTTCCAGAGAGGTGTTTTCTCTAGGCATCTCTAGATCACCCACCATGACTCTTTGGTTAACTTCTGGTTGAGGTCTGCCACAGAATTGCACTGCAGAACCTAGACATTCCTAAAGAGAACACTTTAACCAAATCTGTGAACCAAATCTGTAAAAGTCAACCCTGCAAATATGGCAGCTTAACTGTAATTGTTTCGAAAGAGGGGTTTGAGAGTGGATTTGAGTGGTATGAGCTCATGTTTTTATATATTTACTTACTTACAAATTTTACTTGTCCTTTTGATAAAACTCATGGTGTGGTTTACCACAGAAGAGTTACAGAAACAACAAAGTTAGAGCCACAATTACAGCAAAATCTAAAACTAAGAAAAAGGAAGCGGCACCAGCAAAACTATTTTGAGAATAATTTTCTAGGATTTGACTAAATAAATGAGGTATATGTAACTGAGTGTTTATTTTTTTAAAAGCCACAGCCTACATACTGGGCCCCTCACCATCTGGACAGAGACTGTGATGTGAGGAAAAAGGATTTTTTTTCTTTATACCACACTCATAAAAACTGTTTCAAAAATTGGCTCCTCAGAGCAGAAGGATCAGATGAATGAAGAAAATTCTTTAGATATCCTAAAAAGAAGCCATTTTGGATTTTTGCAGTCCAAACTGACAACATGGATCTATCCTGATAAGAAATTACAAACAAATGGCACTGATAATGAGAGCAAAGGTGGCAATGTGAGTTGATCTAAGGCAGTGGTCCCCAAACTAAGGCCTGGGGGCCGGATATGGCCCTCCAAGGTCATTTACCCAGCCCTCGCTCAGGGTCAACCTAAGTCTGAAACGACTTGAAAGCACACAACAACATCAACAATCCTATCTCTGAAACTGTCTTGATCATGAAGATATATTTCTTGCCTTGGAAGCAATCTCCAAAAAAATTTTTTTTTCATTTTTATATTATTTTTATTTATTTATTTGCATATGAATGGGGGGGGGGAGTAGCTGATGGCACTATTGTTGTTAGCTAGATGGAAACAGTTCTAGTTAGGAATAGTTTGCATGGATTTTCCCTTGAAAGTGACTTAAACTCGAGTGAATGGTATAATATGTTATACTTACTTTGTACAAGTTGCCGCCTACATACAGATCTAGACATGTTTCATTATTTCTGAATGTATATTTTCTGTTTATATATGAGATTGTGTCAAATAATTAAATAAATAAATAAATAAATAAATAAATAAATAAAGTGGGGGGGGGAAACAATCCTATCTCTTCAGCCAAAAGCAGGCCCACACTTCAAATACTAATAAGTTAATATTTGTCAAAATTGTTCTTCATTTTAATTATTGTATTGTTTTTAAGTGTATTTTGAAATGAGAGGTTGCTTACCTGTAACCGTAGTTTCCCTAGTGATGTGCTGTGAATTCGCACTAATGGTACTTCTGCGCATGCGCAGCTTCGCTTCGGAATCTTCAGTTAAAAATTTAAAAGAATCAGCGGTTGGCCCCGCGCACACTCCCCAGTACATTATAAATAGACCGCGGCTGGTCAACCGCCTCCAGATCTCTTCTTCCGCCGCTAAAGCAGCTAGAAGGAGGAGGCATGACAAACTGCGGGGAGGATGGGCGGGGCCGTGCGAATTCACAGCACATCACTAGGGAAACTACGGTTACAGGTAAGCAACCTCTCATTTTCCCTACGTGAGTGTGCTGTGAATACGCACTAATGGTAGAAGACTAGCGAGCTACCCACCTAGGACGGCGGGAGTCATGCCACCGCAGAAAACAGCACTGCACGACCAAACGCTGCGTCCCTCTTGGCCTGTAGATCCAGCTTATAGTGCGCCACAAACGTCAATGGAGTAGACCAGGTGGCAGCGCGGCAGATAGCATCCAAGGAAACGCCCTTCCAGAAAGCAGCTGTAGCAGACACCGCTCTCGTAGAGTGTCCCTTTACCCCAACAGGAAGCTCCCGTCCCGACTTCTTGTAGGCCAGTTTGATCACAGACACTATCCAGGAAGATAGGCGTTGCGATGAAACAGGGAATCCGCAGGTATCCTTTCTATATTTAACAAACAATCTTGGTGTTTTCCTCATACTTTTGGTTCTATTGAGATAAAAGGCCACTGCCCGACGTACATCCAGCAAGTGAAGACCACGTTCCATAGGGGAAGTGGGATTCTGAAAAAAGGCTGGCAGAATAATCTCCTGGGACATATGGAAACAAGACGTCACCTTGGGAAGAAAAGAAATGTCCGTGCGGAGCACAATTTTGTCTTTATGGAACCTGAGGTAAGGTTCGTCTGACCTCAGCGCGCAGATTTCACTAACACGCCTGGCTGATGTAATTGCTACCAGAAAGGAGGTTTTCCATGACAGGTGCGAAATATCGCATGTGGCCATAGGTTCATAAGGTGGGCCCTGAAGAGATGAAAGTACTACCTCCAGGCTCCACGAAGGAATAATAGGTGTCACCGCTGGCTTAACATTACCAAACCCTTTAAGAAAGAGCTTTACCAAATATTCTGAAAAGAGGGAAGGCAATCCCTCTTTCCTCCTGTACCAAGATATGGCCGCCAGGTAACATTTCAGAGATGACAATGACAAACCCGAATTAGACAATGAAACTAAAAAATCTAAAATCGCTGGGATCGGGGCACGTACTGGGTCCAGATCCCTCCCTTTCATATACTGGGAATAACGCGTCCATTTATACACATATGAGCGCTTCGTAGAAGGCTTTTGTGCTGCGTCCAGGATTGCCTTAACTGAAGCAGACAAGGCCTCAGATGATCCTAACTGTCTGGAACGATCCTCCAGGCAGTTAGTCTCAGCGCGTGGGCATCCGGGTAAAGAACCTGTCCGTTCTGTGATGTTAGGAGGTCTAACGTGTTTGGAAATCTCCTGTACCTCCCCTTGGACATTTCGAGGAGAGCCRAAAACCAYGGTTGGCGAGGCCACCARGGCGACACTAGAATGCAGTCCCCGTTGTCCCTCCGAATCTTTGATATAACTTTTGGGAGTAGCGGAAACGGAGGAAACACATATAGAAAGTCGTTGTTCCAATTGCGTAGAAACGCATCTCCTAGACAACCTAGTGTCAGATCCGCCCTCCTGCGCGCACAATAAAGKGGACACTTTGTGTTTTCCCGTGACGCAAATAGATCTATTGTTGGAAACCCCCAGATCTTGAAGATCGTATTGAGTTCCCTGTGATTGATAGACCACTCGTGATTGGACATGGGGGATCTGCTCAAATTGTCCGCTAATACATTCTCCTCCCCTGGAAGGTGTACTGCCACTAGATGTATCTCCCTGGCTATGCACCACTTCCAGATACGCATAGTTAGACTTGACAGGGTTTGTGATCTTGTTCCTCCCTGTTTGTTTATATAATACATTGTTGTAGTATTGTCCGTTACTACCTGCACTACTCTGCCTAACAAAGGTACCTCGAAGGATTTCAGYGCCTTTTCTACGGCGAATAACTCCAGAACATTTATGTGATRCATTGATTCCTCTGGAGTCCAGACACCTTGGGCAGTTAAACCCTCGAAGTGTGCTCCCCAACCTTTCATGGAAGAATCCGTCGTGACCACAGCAGACGGATCCGGGGTCTGAAACGGCAAGCCTACAGTCACATTGTTCGGCTCCGTCCACCACAAGAGAGCGCGCCGAACTTTCTCTGGAATGGCAAGCCGCATATGGGGGTTGTCCCGGCCAGGGCGAAAAACGGACAGGAACCAATTTTGGATTGGTCTTAGACGTAGCCGGGCATAAGGTGTGACGGCAGTCGTAGATGCCATGTGTCCTAACAGAACTTGGATCTTTTTCGCAGACACCTCCCCTGAACTCAGGGCACACACAACCAACGACTTGAGGGACGAAAAACGGTCCTCCGGCAGAAACGCCCTCTGTCGGATTGAATCCAAGACCGCTCCAATAAACTGGATCCTGCGGACAGGCAGTAGGTGTGATTTCTCCCTGTTCACCAYGAGACCTAAAGACTGGAGAAGACAAAGAGTTAGGTCTATGTGCAGATGTAAACGTTCTCGCGAGTCTGCCACCAAGAGCCAGTCGTCTATGTACGGGTACACCGTAACGCCCTTAGTTCTAAGATGGGCAGCAATCACCGCCATACAYTTAGTGAAAACCCTTGGGGCCGTAGTAAGGCCGAAAGGTAAGACATTAAAACTGTAAGCTCTATCTCCAACCATAAAGGCGAGATACTTCCTATGATGTTCTGCCATAGAAATATGAAAATACGCGTCTTTTAGGTCTATGGTAGCGAACCAATTATCTTTATTTAGAAGAGGGAGGATCACAGAGAGAGAAACCATTCGAAATTTCTTTGCATCAATATACATGTTCACTCCTCTCAAGTCTAATATTGGACGTAAACCACCACTTTTCTTAGTCACCAAAAAATAACGAGAAAAGAAACAATTAGCAAACGATGAACTGTCAACTGGGGAAATGGCCCCTTTTGCTAAGAGAGTTTCAACTTCTTCCAACAATGCTGGAGACTCTGGTGTGGCTTTTAAACATCCCAACGGGGGAAACGAAATAAACTCTATCGAATAACCTTCCTCAATTATCTGGAGGACCCACCTATCAGTGGTTATTGATGCCCAGGCTCTGGCAAAAGGCCGAAGCCTATCCTTGTACCAAATGCAACTGACATGTTTTTCAGAATCATTTAAGCCATCCCTTGGGCTGCAGATATCAGAAACACAGGATTCGTCAAAGACGACGTCTTGCGCTACCTGATGCCTTAGCCTTAGATTGGTACGGCTGATACCTAGGCTTTGCGTAATAATTCTGCTTCCGACCAGATTGAAATTTTGATGAATTACTCCGATTACCCTGGCTCGCATTAAACCCATTAAAAGGTGCCTTACGGTAAGAAGACGGGGTTTGCTGCCACCGAGGCTTTTGAAAGTTACCTGGCTGCCATGGGTATGGGTATTGGTACGGATATTTGGCAGCGTGCAAGACCTCTCGAGATTGTTTAATCTTTTCATCCGTTGTTGGATCAAAAAGACCTTCCTCAGTCATAGGAAGGTCCTCCGCCAACAAGCGGCTCTCTTCCGACAGCGAGGAAGTACGCAGCCACGCATGTCGCCGTATGGCCGTGGCAGAGGCAAGAAGCTTGCCCGATGTCTCAGCCATATGTTTGGCGAAGTCTTTCTGCAATCTAGAAAGAATAAGTGCCTCAGCCTGATATGCCCTGGGAAGACGTCGGTCTTCAGCTGGCAGGAGATTGATATAGGGCAGCATATTGTTCCAGAGAAAACTCTGGTATCCGCTGAAATAAGTGGCATAATGAACCATCCTGGCAAACAATCCCGCAGCCACATGTATTTTCTTCCCAAGGGAGTCAATCTTTTTGCCCTCCTTATCTGGTGGTGTTATTGAATACTTCTTAGGTCTTTTTGACCTAGCTGCCTCCGCCACCACCGTATTCGGTAATGTAGGATGGGCAATCCAACTCGCTAATGACAAATCAACTTTGTAGAGAAGATCGACCCTCCTAGGAACTGCAGGAGCAACCGACGGGGAAACATCAGRAACTTTARTTAACTTTAACAAGTATGGAAGAGTCGGGAGTAACAAGGACGGTGAACTGTCCTGCTCCTCGGAAGGGTACATAGGATCATCTACTGTGGAGGCCGGTTTTGGGGCCGGAATGTCCAAAGCAGTTATCATCCTGCCAATTAACTGAGCAAACACGTTATAGTCCTCTATACGCTTTGCGTTGGAAGTCTGATCCTTCTCAGCATTGGGAGAGTCCACTATTTCTACCGAAGAATCCGATTCGCCATCCTCAAGTGGAGGCTGATCTTCAGAAATCGATGGCAGTGGAGTATGTCTCTGATCACAGCAAGCCCCCTGATGCCTATGCCGCACAGGGAAAACTTCTTGTCCTTGCAGCTGTTTTCCTGCATGTTTTCTAGATCCATAGTCTGTATTACCATATTTAGAACAGTAAATACCCCCATGATGTGGGGCAGGTGGTGGGCCACAATAAATAAAGCGCCCCTGGGGAGTTATCTCATACATTCCCGGGTGAGGAAGGGGGCGTCCACTGTCACTTTGATCCTCCCGATAAGCTCTGGAGGTTGATCTTGCCCTCCGTGCGCGCGCAAGCCTGCGCTTCCTTGCAGAGCAGGAGGAATCTGAGCAAGAAGTAGAAGAAGAGGAGGAGGAGTCGCTGGAGCTCGAATCCCGGCGCCTTCGCTTCTTATTATGTGAGCGCGCGCCCGACGCCGCGTCAGGGCTGCAGCAACGGCCTTCCCCGATGTCGAGGGAAGCGTTGCTAAGGACGCCCGTGCTGGCTCCTCCCCTAAGCTAACAGCTGATGCTGCAGGAGGAGCCGGCGCCGAGAGCGTTGGCATCGGGGGCGTCATGTTTTCCTCTTGCGCACGTGCGGGGCGTGCCTTAGTCGTCGAGTCCCTTTCAGTTTCATTTTCCTCCTGAGCTCGCACGGGGCGAGCGGAG